CCATTATGGAAGTAAGCATGATTACTTGGATTTTAACAAAGGTTAATGAGAGTAATTTGGGGGTTTTCACAAAAGGGTTTTAAATTTCAGCTGTATAGTTAGGAGCAGATAAAAATTAGAAGACAATGCAAACATATGTTATTCAGAACTGAAACTGCAGACAGAGAGGAAATTGGCTGGTTTGAGCTCTTACTATGAGATAGTAGTTATTTGAAAGAAATGTTGAATCCTACTTAAATAGCCTTAAGATGAGATCTATAGCTTCATACAATTGAAAAGGGCCAATAATTTAGGTACCTCTTTTGTACTAAAAAGAGATTTTTTTTAAAGAAAACTAAGAATTTAAAACAATGCGTAGCTAAAAAGGAAAAGTCAGTTTAAATCATTGCATAGGGAAGAGATTGTCGTGTTGATAACATAATGCATCAGACAAGAAATAAGGCTCCATGTGGCTTTCTTTTTCATTTATATTCCTTTCAGTAATGAAATGGAATCTGTTACCCTACATCTATTTCATTAGAATTTTTGAAGCACCTGTCAGCTATCATCGGTTTATACATATTTCAGGTTTTCCTGGTGAACACATGCAATGATGCAGGTCCATATGTCCACATATCTGGGCGTAGAGATACCACAGAATTGTTGGATTACCTGCCTGGACTTCTCCCATGTATTGTTTGGGGATGTCACCTTCTGTCAGTCTAATTACTTCTCTAGAAGCGGCTGGTCTCTGCTCACTGTGTGACAATCACGACTTTGTGAATACACCCCAGAAGCCTCTGCAGTCAATTCATCTAGCCCAAAAGTGTCACTCTTTTGTGGCAAGCTGACTTCGGTATACAGGCTCCCTGAAGACTTGCAGAGTCTCTCGGGGGGAGGGGGCAGAGTCTCTTTAGATGTAGTAAGGAGTTGGAGTTGGTGGTTTGAGTAGATAGATACCTTGCCTTCTCTTGGCACACAGGGAAAGATTTCTTCATAATATTATTTGAAGAACACCATACATAATACAAGTCCCATATATGGCTTCTATCTCTGTTAAAGAATGGCTGTCGGAATGCCTACATTACCTGACCAGAGACACTTATAAAAAGATCAGAGACACTCTCGAGGCCAACGGCAGAGAGTTTGATTTTGCTGGAAAAGTCCTATAGGAATATGCTTTGAATCCATTTAGTAAGCCCTTTCGTTCATATTGACTATTCATTACTGTGAATAGACAGACTTGGCTGGGGCTAACAGTAGCTCCTTTGTCATCATTAAACAGCTGTAGATTTTAATATAATAAAGATAAAACCGTTCCTCTAGTTCTGCATTCACACTATGGTATTCAAGTTTGTGCCACCACTTCCATTTTCCAAGCTTTATAATTCCACCATAATCATTTGTTCTTGGCAGAAATATGTTATGCAAGCACTCAGCTGAGGATAATATTTTTGAACAATTTTTCCAGTGTTCTGGTTATGTGATTATGGGCATTTAGAGCTCAATATTAATTTACTCTCAGATTTTGTGTTTCGAGGTCTCAAAAAGCTCTTTTTTTGAAAATCACACAATTTAGCTTAAATCATTACTTCCATACCAGTCATGTTTATTGCAAGATAATGTTATCAGACACAAGAAGAATTTATTGGGAGAAAATCAGCTGCTGGTTTCTCCCGTTCGTTGCATTTCCATGCTGCCAACTTTGTGTGCCTTACTAATTCACATCATGCTTCAGGTAGGAAGTAACTAGGGATTCTTTTGGTTTCTTAATCCATAAATCAAGTGTTTGGTTGACCATCAGACACTTCAGCTCTTGACTAAAAGTTGATAGCATAGCTTAGTTGGAGTTGCCTCCCAAGGAAAGAGGTCTGGATTTTATCCACAACACAGTATAGACCAAAAATGATAACATATGCCTGTAATCCTAGCACCTGGAAGGTAAAGGCAGAAAAATCAGAAGTCCAAGGTCATTTCAGCTATAGAGTAAGTTCAACGTCAGCCCAGACTACGTAAAACCTCATCTGAAAAAAAAAAATGACGTCTAGGAATTGTTGCCATCCTTAAATTTTCCCCAAACATAATTCATTAAATTTTCAACCTAATATTTACGAGTGTTGAGTGAACTGCTGAAGTTGAACTTGAGTCAAACAGAGAAGGTCATGTTTCTCATTTCTTAAAAGCAGAAAACTTCAACAGGGAGAAGTCAGTCACTCCTCTTTGTCCCCAAGCAGTGACCAAAACTTTAGCTGCTATGGTTGGCAGTACTAGTTTGAGATCTGTCCTAATGTTTCCTAAGTTCGTCAAGAAGCACTTGTGAGACAGAATGAGTTAATATTTGTAGAGGTATTTCGATAAAATATAAGCAATGTTTGAATTTTTATAAACCACAGTATCTACCCACCCAAAACTTTGGGAGAATATTTAGCACACATGTATGTGCCAGATGGATTGTAATGACAGTTGATAAGCCTCTTCTAACCCTTGCGTTCTGTTGTCAGAAATCTGCATATCAAAACAACAGTATTTTTTAGAATAAGATTTGTTGTGTAAAGCACACATTGAAAAAACTACTGTCTATTAAGACTTTAAATTAACATCACATGAGGCTTTAAGCTAAAGGTTTTCATAAGAATACCTTAACATGCCTAATACAATATAAATAATTAGCTTTTGAAAGCTACTAGATATTTTCTTGATCTTATCTACTTTTCTCCATAATGTGAATTATTTTTTAAAATTGTATATGTGAGTTGTTGTGTATGTTCTATGTGTTTTGTGTGTCTAACGTTAGATGGTTGTAAATGTGGGTATGTGAAGGTGTACATGTGGGTGTGGATGCATGTGTGTGCATGAGCACGTAAAAGCCACAGGTCTGACCCCCTTTCTGGACAACACCCCACCTTTAATAATGGAGGCATGGCCTCTCACTGAAGCCGAAGCTCACTTATTCAAGATAGATTAGCTGGCCAATTTGCTTCAGGGATCTGCCTTCTCCACCCTCTGTCCCAGGGTGAGGAGTTGTGGGTACATAACGTCAAGCCCAGCTCTTTTACATTAGTTTGGCTTAAAATAACTTTGTCCTCCTGCTTATGTGGCAATAAGATATTTCTCCAATCCTGTAAGTGAATTATGAACAACAACAACAACAACAACACACACACACACACACAGAATGTAATGCAGGACACTCTGCTTCCTTAAGAGCTCAAGAATCCGTAGAGGTCAAAGTGAAAACACACGATAATTCATACCACAAGTAGAGTGTTTGTTTGGTTAATATAATACTAACAAAAGAGTTTTAAATGTAAGAAGTTAGTAAATGAATTATCATCCCCGTGTTTTATGATATTCTTTCTAGTGTTATTGTGGGAATTCTTGATGAGTTCTTGTTCTAGACCAAAATCTATGGTTATAAACTAATGAGAGGGGGGCAGGTGGCCCCACCAATTAAAAATTCCCCAAGATTAAAATGTATATTACCATCTTATGTCAAAATATTCATTTTAATATTCAAACATCTTACCACATAATAAACTGTAACCATATGTTTGTTATATTATACCACTATAACATTAATAAATATTTACAGATCTGCATTATATCCTAGATGTATGAGACATGATAGCTCTCAGTTCCATTTTAAGTGCAAGCCTTCAATGCCTCAAGAATTAATTTTAAGTAACATTGTTGAACACTGATAAAAATCAATGCATTTGAATTTTTAAGCTGGACATTCCCTTGGAAAACGGCATCATTTATTTTCCATAAATGCATCAATTAGAGAAGGATTGTTATCTTGGTTTTCAGACCTTTGACTGGGTGCTTCAATTTTTGCTTTTTTTATATCTAAGTTCTGTATTTAACACAGATCAGAGCTGCAGAACTTCCCATTAGTGAGAGACAGATAACTGTGCATCTTTTTGTAACCAACCCTCGTATTACCAAGAAAAATAAGAAATAGCATTGTAATACTCTTAATTATTAACATGTCAGGGTATATGATTAATCAAAAGTTTTGTGATCTTCAAAACCACAATAACATTTCTGTCTACTGGATTGTACATAGTTTCATGGAAAACCATGTTTTTTAAAAAGAATAAAATTCAGAACTCCTGACTCATACTTTTCCAAATGGTTATGCTGTTTTATTAGTATTTATTCCTTAGTGACAGCTGAAACTAGAGCAGACGACATCAGGAGACAGGAGGCTGGCACTAAGCCACTAGCTTCACTCTCACGTGTCAGAAGACTCTCAGGCTGATCCCTAGTCAGCTGAAACAAGACGTCTTTGCTGTTTGATAACTAGACTTGGTTGCCTATATAATCCTGTCTTCCTTACTCAGCCAAGGATAATGAAGTCCTAAGTTGCTCAGCCATCCCAATGTTGCTTCTAGCTCCTGTTTGGGAAGATAATTTCTCAATATTAGAAATTTCAATACAGAATCTCACACTTACACAGAACTCTAACAAGCAATAATAATTCTTCCAAATGAGCTTCTTCCTTGTAAGTGCTTCATGATTAGCTGGCTTCCCATATGCCCTTTTGCTGTGCCAGGGGTGGAAAGGAAAAATAATGTCAACCACAACGCTAAATCCAGAAACAGTGTTTGCAACCTTTCTGCTTTTTTCATCTCAAAATCTGAATTCACTGCGCAACATCCTGACTGCTTATATTTCTGTGGGAAAAGATTACTGTAGTGCATTGCACTTCGCACATTGTATTGGGTTGTAATTGTTTTCCATTATATATGTCTGTCTTAACACCGTATCAAGAGATTTCACCTTCTTTATTCATTGACTGAATTTAGCCGCAAACAAGATGGTTTCTTGTTCCTTTTTTAAACTATTAATGAACACCCTGTTGAAATGATTCAATCTCTCCTTGTGATTTCTTTTCATAAATATTGTATAACATATATAATAATCTTAAATGCTAGACAGATTGACTTTATATAATGTCCCTAAATGTCTCTTACAGCCTTTGTCGAGGTTTGAACTTTCCACATTATGTATTTCAGACTTTGAGAAAGAAGGGCCTTAATGGCTGTGACAGCCCAGATCCCGATGCGGACGATTCAGTAGGTCACAGCCCTGAGTCTGAGGACAAGTACAGGAAAATTAACGAAGATATTGATCTAATGATCAGCAGGCAAAGATTGTGTGTAAGTACTCAAAGCACCCTTCATTTTTGTTTACTCTTGATATTTCTCTGAACCTGGCAGGCATTGAACAAGAAGGAAAACAAAGGCTGTGAAAGCCCTGATCCTGACTCCTCTTATGCACTCACCCCACGCACTGAAGAAAAATACAAAAAAATTAATGAAGAATTTGATAATATGATCAAGAGTCATAAAATTCCTGTAAGTACCAAAGGTAGATGGCTGATCTGCTGGTAACCGCTACAGTAACATACCTTAACCCTCTCGGTGATGGCTTGCTCTAAGAAGCATTGCAAAGTCAGACAGATAAAATGGCCATCTCATCCCACAGGCAATGCGTTTAGAAAGCAACCCCTATGGGATACTGAAATTACACTATTTCAAAGAGTTGCCATGGAGAAGTTCACTCCGAGATAGAAGAGTTCACAGGAGAAAGAGAGAAATCTATGTGACATGCCCTGAATTTACACAGCCTTTGCAACATGCAAGAAGTTCTCACACCGATCACAGTACAGGAAAACAACACAAGAATTGCCTTCCACATAAGTTTTGTATGCAGAGACCAGATACATGAGTGGAACTCTTTCCGTCATGTACAGAGAGTCCTGACCTTAGTAAAGGCTGGTTTCTGAGTGACACATCAGCCCCTCCCCATGCACATGAAATCCGGCAACAGCACTGAAGGGCTAAAGCTAATGAGCTGCAGGAGGCAGAGTGCATGAAACCTAACGGTAAGACTTCAACGTCTGTGTGATTTTAAAGCTTTTGTTAGAATGATATCTGCTTTGCCCACACCAGCGTTTTCCATGCTTTAACTTTTGGCTAAATTTTGTCTTAACCGATTCAGAAATTTTCTAACAATCAATGCCTTGCCAGATAGTTAAGAAAAATAGCTGTGCATGTATAAATTTGTTTGTTCAGATGTATAGGGAAAAATGACTATTGTTAGATTTGGTTATCAATCAAGCACTATTAATTCTGTAGCATAAAATGAATATACTCAAGGCTCTCATGGTATGACTAATGTTAGTACCTGAATCCTAATTTGTATACAGGCTTCTCAGTACATAATTAATTTTTTTTTTCAGAAAAGTATATTTCTGGTAAGTTAGCAAAGCAGCTCAAACCTGAGTATTAAAAACCAATCTGCAGTGAAAATGGGCTTTGTTGATTAAACATACAGATATTTGAGGTGAAAAGCTGTAAACATATCCAGACTATACTCACAAACTAACTGATACATGGCCATAGTCAGCACAGACACAGCCTTTGTTGGTTTAAATGAACCCTTTAAAATTTATTTGCAAAATTGTGCTTAGTAGAAACTCGGTCTTCATGACGCCTTACTTTTCCTTTTACTAAATGAAATATTATCAGCAACACAGCTGTTTTTTAAGCTTTACGTCTGAGATCATAATGTAATTACGTCATTTCCCCTATCCCTTTCCTTCCTCAAAAGCCTCCCATATGCCCTCCTAGTCTTAAAGGTTTTGCTACCTTCCAGTACTCCACACAAGTTCACAGTGTTTTACCCATCAAAGAAATGCATATATGCTTGATAAGTGTATGCAAAATTCTCAAATGATAAAATGTCCATCCAAATTTATTTTACCCAGAAAAGTGAAATAAGCAGCTTCTTTGGGTCAACATCCAGTTCTTTGGCTCTATATAGAAAAGACTGGTTTAATGCTCTGTGCACAAAGGTTTAAATGTAAGACTATAGGCAGTGCCTTCAGTACTGAGGTCAAAAGAATAGTCTGCATAGATCAGAAAAAGGCAGACTGCTGATAATCTTCAGCAAAGCTGAACCTAAATATGGAGAAAAAATGAACCCCCAAAGTTTTAGAGGGAGGGTATTCATGGATCTGTTTCCCTATATTTAAAGGGAAAGAAGATGCAATACCTAGATTCCCCAAGATCTTTCACCCTGTCATGTGAAAAGCCCCAAAATCAAGATACATAACTTGTTAATAGGTACAAGAATGTGTTGCAGAAGGTAAAAAACACATGAGAGTCTATGGGCAGAGCACTGAAGAGAAGCCACAGGCCTCTAGCTGGGCCATGGGGTCTTCATGTCTTACTGAGTTTTCACACATTGCTCTCAGTTGCTGGAAGTCCATACCGTTGAACATTTTCACAGCTGCTAAAACATCTACAGCAAGGCAAGGACACTCTGCCCTTTGTGTGTAGAGTGTCTTGGATTCTTAAAAACATTACAAGACTGTTTCCCTATTTCAAAGAACCAGTGGGTAGCATTTCCCTTTTAAAACATAAAATTTAATACTGAAGCCACCTGTTGGAGTAATATAATTTATGCCCATATCCCTCAATTACACAAAATAATTCATGGGTGATTTGGAATCTTGTCGACCAGCATTTCCTCCCACTGGTTTTGCTACAGCTCATGCTGGGAGTCATGACAAGCAAAACAGCTCCAGTAGAGGACCTGGGGATTAGCAAAATGGCTGAAAGAATGAGAGGTAGAAGCAAACTTGTTTTAGAGGGAATGAGAAAAGAGAAAATAAAAAGAAATGTCCATATTTTCTTCCAAATGATGTACTTTAATGAGAGAGATTTGATGTTGTACCTAGAATCAACAACAGAATTAATGTGAAAATCGGTTGAAATGATTTACATGCAAAGTAAAAATACTTAAAAAAAAAAAGGAAAAGATTGAACACATAGGTCTGATGGGGACAGCATGGTAAAGTTCAAGGAAGAGGAAGAGGATGGAAAACTAAGAGATGATGAAGTCATAGCAGGGTTGAAGTGAATAGAGAGAAGTTAGGTGGGGTGACCGCGTATCATCCGTACTTAATTGAATCCAGGGCAAGTGAGGGCAGATGCTCAGATAGTGATGAAAGTCTGCACAATGAGGATATACAGGAAATGAACAGGTGTATGCTGTACCTACTAGGAAGTCATGAAAAAATTGGGATACGAGCAGTTGGTAGTCACTGGTCATTAGACTTGAATTACATTATTTTCTCTAGTAGGAGATCTGAAGCTTGGCAATAAGAATTCAATTAGTAGCAAAGCAACAACAAAACAGAGGATTCAGTTCAGCTGTTCACATGAATAAAAGAAGGTCTATTAACTAAAAGAAATATCTTACCAAAGATTACTATGTGATTTTTATCAGAATTTTTTGGGTGGAGCTTTTGAGGATATTAAGAGTTCAGATGCCCTTTTTCCTGGGATATCACACATGAAGAGCCCTGTCTACTCTTCAGAGACAGTAGCCTCAAGCTAGGCAGCCACCCTCTCTGTATCACTTAGGACAAGGACAACCTGCTTGCTGTCACTCTTAAGTTTTTCACATTCTTAAAGCAGCAGCTCAGCTCCCTCTTCTTCGAGTTTCTAGGTTAGAAAGACAAGCCTATCCACAGCACTTTGATCGCCCAAATTCTGCTTTCCAGAACTGAGTATTCTAAACTTTTAGAGGCTGCTAAAATGATATAATTACCTTTAGGGGGCTTCTGTGTTTGAACCCACAAGTTTTAATATAAATCTCTTAAAGGTTCCTAATTTTGAAAATCAAGAAGGAAAAGAATAAGGCAGATTTCTTCCAAACATTTGGGTTACATTACCCTCTACGTTACTTCCCAAGTATTCAGAAATGCTCATTATCTTTATCTGTACAATCATCTCGTCACACGGATAAGGAAATCAGGGCCAAGGAGTACTAAATGGCTCCCTGGTTAATTGGCAGCTCATTATCCAAGTGGGCTGCAGCTGAGATGTCTTTGGAAAAGGCTAATCTTGATTTGCTAAGACATCATATCAGTGTGGTCATGTTAAGCTTATAATCTACTTTCAAATTACTGTTGATAGTTCCTGACATGGCTTGAAGCAATGAAACAAACAACAGAGTGCACCAGTGATGTTGGTGTCTATTGTGAGTTCAAAGCTGTTTAGGTATGCTCTGATACTGGGATGTGTCTGACTTCCGCTTAGCCAGTCCTAAATGGTTGTATAGTGATCCTCTTCAAGTTGTTATGGTCCAGTGTGCTAGAAACTCAGTGATTCTTCAGGGTGATGCTTATAAGGGAAAGGAGTTTGGTGACTTTCACTGAACTGGTTAGTAGGATACCTCAGGTCATTGCCTAATTATTACCTACCTCCTGTATTGTGAATGTACCTATAATCTCTTAGGGGAAGAGATAAAGTTGGCCCTCTAGTGAGTCAAAGTCAATATTCTATTCAATATGAGGGGAGGCTGAGCTCTGTAGTGATGCTTAGGGACCTAGTGAAAGTGGAATGTTTATAAGTAGGAACGATAAGCACATATTAAAAGATTTGAAATCAATAGCAGTTTTAAAAGTATGGACTTTTGAGTAATATGGAAGAAGGGTGTCTTTAAAATTCATTTTCCCAAGGCTTCGGTTGTATAAGTTTGTTAATCATGTGGCCCATGGATGGTAGTTTACTAATACCCAATATGTGTAAATAATATGATCTCTGACTATAAAATTTCATTTGCTCCAAAATACTAATCTGTACTGCACAGTGATCTAGGATCAAAACCAGAATCAATCACTAGTTCAATGGCATTGGGCCATTTTCTCAATCTTGCTGTTTTGAAAAAGAAAGACATTATGCACAATGAAGGAATAATGACAGGGTTAAATTGCATCAAGTATGGAAATTACACACCCTAGTGCCTATCAACAGAATATATGTAGGAACTGGTAATCTTAAGCTTTTAATATTAATACAGTATATTCAAAAATCTCCTTTGCAGAGAAATATTCAAACTTATAATAAGAAGAGTACATTTTGAATTGCTTAGAATAAGAGACCTTGAGTACTTTAGTGAACTAGACCATTTCTAACCAACATCGAAATCTTTTTTAATTGTAAGAGACAAGAAAGACATCTAAGATGGATGTAAGGAGTAAGCAAGGTGCCAGATGAAATAGAATAGTTAAGGTGGACTTCCTAGAGATAGCAGGTCTTTGAGAAGAAATTTATATGTTGTCCTGGAATTAATCGTGGTATTTGGTCAAGAATGAGAAATTTGGGCAAGGGTGGGCTGACAAGCATGAGATAGTGGAGGTTAGTAAATGCCCAAATTTGGAGGATATCTAGGTCTTTGGAGGAAGTGGAACTTTTACTTTAAGTAGAATGGGCACACTGGTGGGGG